TGAAAAGTTGGGATATTTTTTTATATATGGCAAAAGTTTAGGCATTTTTTTTATTCTCCCTTTTTAAAAACGACATCAGTTTTTAGATTTTGTACGTACTATTATCTCATAGTTTGCGTGAGCCGCCCCACAATTTGAAACTTTTTGGTCCACCCGACTCAATATATTCTGCGTTAGACGTTCCAGAAGCCTCTGCTCAACCGCCGTAAAACTCTATGGTAACCAACCGCCTCAGTTCTTCACGTGCATGTTCGTACAGTAGCAGACTATTCGACGACACGAATGTGCGGTCAGTCTGTTGTTGCGACCAGTGAGTAGGTGTGCATTGTCCGACGGGTTGCTTCAAAACTGATGTCTTGCAAGCTACGACATCCCAAAAAAGCGTCGTAGGCCTTATCCGTTTCTAACGTTAGAAATTGTTAGCCCATGGAGGCTGTCAAGGTGGAGACGACACGTCAAGAGCTCGCTGGAGATTATCGTTAGCACGGCCGACTACAATTTGATTTTGATCTTCGCGGATACGACGAAAACAACCCAAAATTAAGTCCGCCTGTAGAAAGGGCTGCGGGTACTAGCAATCTGAAGGCTGATCATCAAGTCGCTACATGTGTTGGCACTGAAGTGTGCACTATGTACACAAGAGCTAAGAGGTCGGATTGCCACTTGATAAACCTGGCTCTCTACGCTAGCCAGTCGGGCACCCCACGCCAACTGACCTCCATCGTTATTTGCTTATCGTTCCTCAGTATATTTGCCGCAAGGACCGACGCCAATCATATTTAAGGGAAAGGACCAAGTGTATTAAATGCAGCAGCGATTGTGCCGCAAGCTGACTGTGCGGTGCCCGGGTGAGCCAGACCTCTGGTGGTGGAGAATCGCACGTTGTGCGATTGCGACGGGGCTCACTGGTGGTGTAGGTCTCCATCGAGGCTTTTGACAACACGAAATTCTCGGTTGGCGTCGCCATCGATTGTAAGGACAGATAGATATCGCCCTCGCGTAATGCGAAGGCAAAGGCCTCCTTAATTCAGCAGCATAAGTGTCAGGCCATTGTGCTTGCTGAAGCTAAGAGCAGTAACTTGAAAAGCCACTCCAGACAATATTCGAAACTAGGTAGCGTATCTTCTGGAAGCAGTCATGCATGCTGAAGCAGCCGAGCTATAGAGCGAAAAAGTCCGCTTCATGAATGACTCCTCACTTTAAAGATTAACCGGAGGATGCTCTGGATACTGGCCTTCTGAGAGCGTAATTCTCCGCCATTACCGTAGAATGAGACAGCAGGAAGGAACGTCGAATTTTCGGCGTCAAGGGAAATGTGGAGAAGATTGCAGGATTCACTTCTCTGAAGGGGGGATAATTTTGACTCGTAGTAAAGTACAGGGGGTACCCATTCTGACCAAATCGGACCGCCAAACATGATAGTCGACAAAGTCGCGCTAGATGTATCTATTGGTCGCTTGACAGCTACGTCTCGAAAAGGTTAGTGTCGTCATTTGCGGCGGTGAAGTTCTCCTCAAGTACTACATCATCTCAATAAAGTCTTGTTATTTTTCGAGGAACCTTTTTGAATACTTTTTTTAAAAACAGTTCATCGACTCTGACGAACTGAATCGGATTTGCAGAGGGGTACAATGAAAGTCATCACAACTACGTGCTCGTGAGCCTGCCCTTCATACTCATTGGCACTTGCTATCAGCGCAACATATGAAAATGCAGCCAACGTAAAGGACGGCAGTTTAAAGTGCAAATGTATAAAAGTGTCGAACCCTTGCAGACTCTAACGCAATCTTTAGAAGCAGCCACGTGCGATGGTGGAGCGCCTGGCGCCGTTGGAGACAAACACTTGACCGTTTGACTATGAGAGAACAGGGTTTAAATGCAGAAAGACATCAATAATACAGATCGGATAGTTTCTGTTGTACCATTTCTTTCGTTTTTGCTGTGTAACTACAGGTCGGCGATAATGCTTCGAAATAGTTGATTGACGACTAACAGTATAAGACCCAAAGTTAAAGCATTACCACCGTAGCTATACCAATCATAGCGATCGACAATGCGGCAAGATATTTAGACGACGACGCATTCGTGTCTTCACTGGCATTGTCATCATCTGTCGTCGTTGGTGTATTACCTGCGGAATTCGCCATGGCGCCGGGGGTCGTAGAGTTTCCGCATGTACTCCCGACGCATCCTGGTTCACGTGTAGGTACCAGTGACTCATCGCACGCGAACGAGCCTGTAGAGGTGTACCGACTGGTAGCATTCGGCATAGAAATTCTGCTGGCATCCCGACCTTCGTAGTTGGACGCCGTGACATTTTGCGCGTTGATACAGATACTGCTAGTGCTCTGCGTTTCTAACTCAAGTGTAGCCGTCCGGACCATACCTGTTAGCACCGAGACACCTGCCGATTCCTGGGCATCAACTTTGACCTCGTCTGTAGCTGTCACACTTTCGACATTAAATTGAAGAATGGCAGTGCCTGCAGCATCAAGCTGCAGCTGACGCACACTTAGGGCAGTGCTAGTCGCTGACACGTAGACGGCACTGGATCCACTAGCTTCGACCTGAAGCTCAGCAGTGGTGCTGGTTGACACTAAAACGCCGTCCATCACAACTATTTGACCAGATCGATGACTTTTAACATCGGTCACGATGCCACTAGAAGCGAGAATGATTTCGGCGAGAACATATCCATTAAGATTGGTAGTAGAAATGTTTCCAAGGCGCACATTCAGCTCTCCATCGCGGTCGTTTTCAGCATCTTGGTCGTTGTCATTGCTATCATCGTTGCCGACGGTGATAGCCTCCACGATACTCTGTGTGTCGCCCGACACATTCACATATCCAAGAATGCCGCTCGGTATACCTCTCACGTAGCTTATATAGACACGACCAGCAAGTTCTAGGTCGATGGAGCTGATGGCATCACCAGCGTTCGCGGAGTTGAGAGTCCACTGCTTCACAAAATTTACGTTCTCCGTGCTGGAATTAGTAGCCATTGTCGTCCCAGACGTGACAGTAAACGCGGCATTCCCAAGGGTAGTGATAGATGCCGCGGCAATGAGAAGAGTCGGAAGGTTCATGGGTCTTAAACAGATTTACTCGGACCAGTTGATTTTAAAACTGAGTCCAAAATTTTGGCGCTGAAGGAAAAGGTGATGGTTACGAGATTTACAACAACAAAAACATACGACCTCCTCTATGTGATTGAAATGAAAAGTTTTTGCCAGCTGCCTACTCCAAACCTTCATAGTTCCGAATCATTCTGATGATGTATCTGCTTTCATAGCAGTAGGAAAAACGTTGATGATAGTCAAAATAAGAGAGAAAGGAGATTTGATTATAATCGTATTATATTTACAGTGGCGACAAATACATTCAGACGAAGATCTGCCTATCCTTCTTGGTCGTACCTTCTGTGATTCGGAAATGGGAGCATCAGAAAACGTGCGGTACGGTATGAGTACGCATTATACTTTTGAAGTACCCAGACGATTGGACGAAACTGTTGGCCTTACACATTATTTTAATACGTAAAGTGAACCGTTTACAATTGCTATTTGAAATGCGGTGTACTGTAATTACATTGGTGAAACTGAAAATATTCATAGATGCAGAAAATATCGATATATATAGTTGATGAAGTTTGAAAGGAGCTGCCACCCGCAAGTCAGAAAAAGGCAGTTAATGATGAGAAAAAGTAAAACGCATATATCTTGTATTTGTGTAAATACTAGTAATTTTTAATATGTCGTTATGTGTGGATGATACATTCGTGTGGATTATCCTAAAATCATGTGGCACACACACCCTGATGTGTGTGGATAATCATCCCGTTCATCCTATATTGTGGTGAATCTGTGACTTTTACAACCTGCCATTGCTCGCATTATATTGATTAAACAGCCATGGATGACTAATAAAAACAAATCGAAATTGCCAGGGCTCAATATTATGTCATACATTTCAAGTGCTAGCGTGAAGCATTGATGTGCCGCAGCTGATATAGCAATTTTGGTTGATGTTACTATGGAAATTGACATGGGCTTCTCTTCCAATCCATATTTTCAGGCATTCAGCAAGCTATTCATGGATAAAAAGGATGTGTGCTAGGTGCGCGAGGTGGCAACTAGCTGCATTGTTATTGTAGCGGGGTTGCCGTAGACTTTTGTATAAAGAAAGCTAAGCTAAAGTCACCGACCTTACGTTTTATACTAGAACGTAGCGGACTACCTCCAAAGTTACCCCAAAACCTTATCTAAGGCAAATACACTCTTTTGTTCAAAATTGACATTGTATTTTAATTGTTTTATTTTGCAACACCTTAGGTTAAATGAAACATAATTAATATGCATAACTACTGGCAGTCCTACCACGTGGTGGCTTATTGTTACCGTGTAGCCGCACCTCTGTGTGATCACACCATCTTGTGTAATTCACACTTATGTACGGTCACACCATCTTGTGTAACCCACCATTTCATACAAGAGTACGTGAAACACCATTACACTCTGGGTACGTGCAATCCCGTTAAACCCCCCATCAAAATTGCTCACATTTTACTGTCGCCTCATATGCAGCGGGGCTGCCGTAGCTTAGCGTCTAAGAAGCGTAATTTAGGTCACCGACATTTCGTTCTTTACAAGAACAATACGAGTGTAGCGGATCGCAATCCGCTACCTCCCATAGTATTTAATACCTTAACCAAGGCAATAAACTCTTCGACTTAAATTCAAAACTGGTTTTCTCTATTTTTATCTGCGGCAAAGCCGCCTAATTTTGAATGTTTAGATTTTCCTATATATATAGCAAAATCTATATACATGCATAACTACTGGCTACCTAGCCACATACCGTATTCTTGTTTGAGTGCAGTCACACCATGCCTATCTCGTGTGGCACACACACTTCTGATAGCAGGGTATGTGTAACCCTGTTACACTCTCTCCCATTAAAATTGAAAACATGTACAGTTTCAATCGATTATTGCCTCAACGAGGCTTGCGTGTCCGCTAGACCGGAGGATGTACATCCTAGGCTGTGGTCGACTTCGAGTCTGACACTCCTTTTCCTGCAT